TGGGTTGTGCTGTGAAAGGGACCCAGGGGTGTGGGTGGCCAGCCAGGAAGGAGAAGGGCTCTGAGGTGGGAGAGAAGCAGTAATAATAATGCCATCCATGTATAACTTAGAGAGCACTTGCTGTGGGTCAGGTGCTGTTCGGAGCAGTTATTAAGGCATTCAACCCTGTTAACAAAGCTGGGATGTGGCTTTCATGAGTGTCCTCACCTGATAGATAGGAACCTGCAGCAGAGAGGGTAAATGGTCTATCTGAGGTCCCAGAGCCGTGTGGACGTGGCGCTAGGGTGTGAAGTGCAGGGTCCCCATTCTGAGATCCCCATTAGATGTGAGCAAACGCATGGGGTGGGGGATTTAGGAGGGACCCGTCAGAGATCTGACTTGATTTAGAATCCAAAACCAGCAAAGGTAAAGCCCCCAAGCGTGCAGGCTTTTGAAATAACATTTTCCCCACTCACCCACCAGGAGTGCCACCTGTAACCAGCCGTGTTCTCCGTCCTGTTGGGGCCGGCCTCCTGCTGGCCAGCTGACAGCATCACTGAGCCCCTCCCCCTTGCCTGTTATCTTTTATAAAACTGTGTTTCCCATCCAGCAGCATTCCCGGCTAAATTACTAGATGGGTGACGGTGTATAGATGGTTCCATTTCTAGTGGGTTTGGTGGAGCCCAGAATGCTGTGTTGAGAAAGATTCTGAGGCTCAGTCTGGGGTCAGCAGGAAGTAGTAGTGCCATGACCGGTGAGTGATGCCTGAGACAGGCCCGGGTGTGGGGCACCGTGGATGGTTGCCCCAGGTGACTACCACCCCTTACCCAGCAGGAGGCACCTCTGGTACAGAGGGCGAGCCCCCATTTCCCTCATGACCCCTGTACCTAGCATGGTGCCTGGCACAGAGCTGGGATTAATCCATGTTGGAAAGAAGGAAAGGAAGCCCTCTGCCCCCTCAAAGTCCAGGGGCTTGTGGCATCCCTGTCCCAGAGGCAAAGTGGACCGACTTGCGTGGCATTAGGCAATGCCACATCTCTCCAGCGTGGCTCTCCCTCAGCATTTCTACATTGGCAGGGCCCCCGGACACTGAGGGTGAGAAGCTGGAGCTGAGCTTGTCACCGTGACTTGGGGGACACTGTCTGAGGGCTTCTGGGGTACAGATCGGAGGAGTTTACCCTGAACTTACTGGGAGGCATGATTCACTGTCCTCTGTGGAGGTGGGCTGGGGCCCTGAGCACCCACAAGGATGCTGATGGCGGAAAAAGACTAGACAGCCTCAGTGGTCCATTCTGCTTAACGCCTGGTTAACCGTTTAATGCAGATGCCCACAGCATGGAGGAAGGGAGGGCGTACAATGACCAAAGGGGGGCTAACGGAGTCTGCAGGACGTTTTCTGCGCCACTGACAGCCTCCTGGGGGTCAGCAGGAGACTGTGGCTGAAGCTCCTTCAGGGAAGCGGGGGAAGGTCTGGGGGTCATTTGGAGATTTTTGTTGGTTTGTTTTGTTTTTTTGCAGTACGCGGGCCTCTCACTGTTGTGGCCTCTCCCGTTGCGGAGCACAGGCTCCGGACGCGCAGGCTCAGCGGCCATGGCTCACGGGCCCAGCCGCTCCACGGCATGTGGGATCTTCCCGGACCGGGGCACGAACCCGCGTCCCCTGCATCGGCAGGTGGACTGTCAACCACTGTGCCACCAGGGAAGCCCCGGAGCTTTTGTTTTGTTTTGACCACATGCAGGTTTTGCTTTTTCAATTAAAAACAAACAACAAAAGCTTGGTGTGGTAGAAAGTCTTTGCGCTTTGGTGTTAAGCTTCCTGGGTCCAGGTGGTGATCTGGCACCTTCTAGCTCTAAGGCGACCACGCTGACCTCTCCCACCCTGATTCCATTTCCTAAAGCCAGGAAAAATGAGGCCAGGTCTACCTTCCCTAGAACCTCAGCGAGGTGGCAGGTGTGGAGGATGCTGCCTCCTCCGCTAAAGGCGAGCTTGGTTATTTTCCCTGTGCTCACAGCTCGAAAGACTAAGAAACAAGATCATCCAGGCCACCTTCAACACCATAGGATTCAAGTCCTTGGCCACCGAGATCTCTGACAATGACATCCTGGAAGCCTTGCAGGTATATCCAGCCTCCTTGTCCCCAGGGCCACGTCTCCACGCCAGCGCTCCAGGGTCTGCAGCTGGGGGCAGAGGGGAGAGGCCTGGAAGGGATGCTAGGGACCCCCATTCTTGTCCTGGTGGTGTCACCCTTTTACCGTGACCCCAGAACAGTCCTCTCTCTCTGCTTAGGCAGAGGGGACTAGGTCTCCCTGACGGGTGGCGATGTCCCCGAGCTGCTCTCAGCGTTCAGCACCCAGCAGCAGTTACCGCAAACCCACCAGCGCAGTAGGGAGGGGACCAAACTGCTGGGCCCTGGGCATTTTCCTGCAGCAGGAGCCCATCCCCAGGCTCTGCCCAGCTCAGCCTCCTCCAAGGATGCTACTTTGCAGCTCAGCCTGGCCTCCGCTGGAATCCCTGCTGAGCCAGGAGTCTGGCACGGACCCTCTCCCCGGCCTTGGTCCATGGCAGCTCCTCACTGACAGGCAGAGGCCTCAGAGGGGCAGGGCGGCGAAGGGGAAATAGGGCAGCTTTGGGGCGGCAGGAGTGAATCACCACCTTCTGGACCTTAGCCTCAAAGCTGTGGGCCGGTCACTTGACTTCGCTGAGCCGTAGAGCTTCCCTCTGTACCCGGGACAGCGTGCCTGCCTTCCAGGCACCACGGGGCCCACAGCTCTGGGAGGAAAGCACCTGAAAGACAGGTGCTCCGTGCGGGGCCCCAAGCCTCCTTCGACAGCACAGCCCTAGACCCCAGCAGCTACCCATGACCTGCCACCGGCCCACATTTCCCTGGGGCTTGGTTCCTTTCCTCTGTGAGGTGGGGCGAGGAGTTAATGGTGCTCTTGTAGGGTGGCCACAGTCCTCAGGGCAGAGGGGACCTCTGCATGGGGACCTGGGGAGAGGTCTCTGTTGTTTGGGGCCTGGGGCCTGGTTACTGTTGTCTGTGGGAGGAGAAGAGGGAGGAAGGAGAGAGGGGGGAAGGAGAGAGAAGATGGGAGGGATGGGGGATGGGGGATGGGGGATGGGAGGGAGCGAGGGAGGGGGGAGGGGGATAGGAGGAGTCATCACCATCACCCAGTAGCCAGGGAAAACCCCCTTCCTTTGCCAATGCCCCACACAAACCAGCAATGGGCCAGAGAGAAGGAGGCTGAGGAGGGGCGGGACAGCCTTCCCTGCGCCCAGGACAGAAGGGACTTGAGGTTAAGACTTGACGGCCTCTGAGGTCTCTGGGAGTCTGGGCTCCCAGCAATTCCCAGAGGACTAAGAAGTGCATTTGGGGCAGACTCCAGGGGTGAGCTGACCTGGAGCCGATGGTGGGCATCTCTCCCCAGCTCCGAGTTCTGTGGCTTCACCCCTGTGCCTGGATCAGCCGTGGTGGGAGGGCTTTCAGAACAGAAATTGGCAAATGCTACAAACCAGAGCTTTTTATTTTCTCCTGGAGAACAGGTTGTAAATATTCACCAGCACAGCACTGAGGCAGCGGGCTCTTCTCGGGGAGGGAAGGGTGGTGTCCCAGGAGCCTGCAAGGACTGGGCACACACTGCTGTATGTCTTTTCTAGAGGATCATCTCAGAGAGAACTGACTACTACAACCAGTTGAAACAGAAGGGGATCAAAGTGCCCCCACTGCAGCAGTCGGAGATCTTATCCCCGACCAGCAAGTCCAAGAAGATAACCTCCAAGTAGGCCCAACTAGGACCCCAGGTGCAGCCAGTCCAGTGGAGGCCAGGACTCAGCCTGGGTGTGCCCTGTGTGCCCCCCCTTCACCTCCGTCAGCCCCCATGGCCTCACCCTTGCGCCCAGATTCAGAATTACACCTGCTGTTGCCCACCATCTCACCTTCTCCTTCACTAGGACACACAGGGGAGCTTGGGCTACATGGACACCCCCCATTCCAAAACTCACTGGTTGGGGGTCAGCACAGCAGCCTGCACCCCTGGCTCCTTCCTGGGAAGACCCCACGCTGAGCAGGGTGCCCTCTGGTGGTCCCAGGTGTAGGAGGCCTGAGACTGGGCTCCCGTCCACCGCATTCGGTTCAGACCCCAGAGCGGTCCTTCTCTGCCGCACACACCTGCGGCGGTTCCCCTGGCAGGGGCTCCCCAGCTGGGGCACTGTTTTGCTGGTGCGACCCCGTGGAAGAAGTTGGGTCGGGCTGCGGCACTTCCGTTCACATCCATCGCTCCTGAGATGAAAGATCTGCGAGGACAGGCACGCTTGTCAGTGTCCTTCACAGAGACCTGTGCCCGGCACACAAACACGTGCTGAACCTAGTCAGTCCTCGGCCTCTTCTCTTTGCTCTCTACCCTCACCTGTCCACGCATCCTTTCATCCTTTCCTTCGAGCAGCGCCCGCTCGAGCATGGCCACCCCACCCAGGCCTCTGGCCGCTCAGAGCGAGCGGAAGGCCGGCTGGCGGCTGGGGAACCTGATGACTGGGCGCCCCCGAGAACAATCCGGTGTTTCGGTTCTAACCAGGTGCGCTTGCCATCCCTCCTCCCCCCACTGAGCCCGCTTCTGCGCTCGAGCCCGGTTCCCGGCGGGGAAGCTGCAACAGTTGCGAGGGGTCTAGGCCCTGGAGAGAGGCGCGCTCTGCGGCTCCTGCGGCCCCGGCGGCCCTTGCTGCCCCTCGCCCCTGCAGCACGCACCTCCTGGAAGGCCTGGGGACCTCCCTCTTGCTCCGCCCCTGCCACGGCCCCGCCCCTCCACCCCTCCACCCCTCCACCAGGCCCCACCCCCGTTCCCGGAGTCCGGCGGCCGCCCACCCACGGCCTCAGGTCCCGCCCCATTTATGCCCCGCCCCGACCTACCTGCCCGGCCCCTTCCCCGGGCCCCACCACCCACCGCCTCGCCCCGCCCACCCCAGCCCTGCTCCGCCCCCTCTCAGGCCCCACCACCCACCAGGCCCCACCCCCTCCAAGGCCCCGCCCCCCTCAGGCCAGGGACACGTCCGCGGCGCGCGGAGCGGCCGGGGGCTGTCGAGCCAGGTGAGACACGGGGTCGTGGTGCGGTTTCCTCGAGTAGAAGGAGATGGTGGGCTTGGTTTCAAGTGGGCAGTGGGCAGAGACCCCACTGGCGAGGCCCAGTGCAGCACCCCCGCCCCGCTAGGCCGCGGCCTCTGTGAGCGGCCGGCCCGGGAGAGAGGAGTTGCTGGGGTGCGGGCGGGGTTGAGGCTGTCCCGGGCCCACAGACCCCGAGGCTAACTGCCTTCGCCGCTCCTGCTGGCCGCCCGGGACGCCCCAGGGCCCCTTTCCTTTCCCTGCCCCTGGCAGCGCCGCTCGCTCCTCTTCACCTTTTCTTTATTTTCTGTCTTTCTTTAAGGTTGGAGGCATCTGAGGCTCCTCAGGTCCCGAACTGCGGGCTGGGAGGAGGTGAGATCACTGGCCGGGCTCTGACCATCTTCCTGGACCGCAGAGGCTTCGACCCCCAACGCCGGGACTCTCCCCTTGTAAGCTGTGGGCTCCTTGGAGGTGCATTGGGGGTGAAGGGGTCTAATGTATATGCAGCCCCTGTGTGCCAAGGACTCTCTGTCCCCCACACACTCCCAGGAGGCGGTGGTACCCCTGAGGGTCCCGGGGCTTAGCAGGTGTCCCTGCCAGGCAGCACAGCCCCAGGGTCCTGTGACACTGTGTGACCGTCCCGTGTGGGTTGGACAGACCATTACAAGCAAGTGAATGAAGCCCTCAGAAGCTCAGCTCCAGCACCTCACCGGCTTCTGGTGGCTTTCTCCAACCAGGACTACTTGAGGGCCACCATCCGCGTCAGTCAGGAGCTTGTTCTGCTACAAATAACAGGAACCCACTGTCCCAGGCTTGCACAAATTGAGCTTGACCCTCCTCAGATCAAGAAGCTCATGGGTGGGCAGTTGGTGTGGATTTGGAGACTCAGCACCACTGGGCTGGTGTGGGCAGGATATCCAGGTTGCAAAGTGGCTGCTCAGCTCCAGCCGTCACTTCAAGGCAGGAAGAAGGAAGTGGCTGTTCTTTTGTTCATGAAAGCAAAAGCCTCCTACCCCCTGCTGCACCCCAGCACCTTGCTCACATCTGGGTGACATGGGAAAGCAGGGGTCAGAGTATTAAGCTTGTCTTAGCCCATGACTGTCACTTTGGGCTGGCACACTGCTGCCTGGAACAAGATGGGGACTCTGGCCACAGGAGGGAGGGTGGACATTAGGTAGGTAGCTAACAGAGTTGGCCCTTAGCCCCTTTCCTGGACACACCCTGGGAAAGCAGAACCCACGTTCAACAAATGCTTGGCCTTCCCCAGGCCTGAGAGCCGGCCTGCATGGCTACCCCAGAGCACAGGATCCCACAGGAAGGACAGGCTTTGTGGCTTTGAGACAAGCTCCCTTCCTTTGTCCCATGGGCCTGGGATTTGGGAAAGGGCAAACGTGGAAGCATTTTGGGGGTTTAAGAACTGCCTGATTTCCTGAGTTTCTGGGTTCGCTTCTTGCTAAGTGGCTCACTGTGCTTTCAAGCCTCTGCGTCCCAGATTACCTGGACAAAAGGTCAGGTTTTCCCAGGCTGGCGGGAGCTGAGCAAAGTCTCAGCCCCTGGACTCCCAGCAGGGCACAGCAGTGGGTGAGGGAGGGGCTGCGACTCGGACAGGCCAGAGGACACAGCTGCTGCTACGCAGGCCAGGCAGGCCTCCTCCCCCTACTGGACAGGCTGCGCCGCTTGCCCGTCCCCTTCCCTTCCAGCCTCCAGGGATGGCTCTGGGGCCTTATCTGGCAGGAATGGGAGGAGGGAAGGCTGTTAGTTATCAGGCTTGGTGACCTGGCCCCAGCCAGGGGCCCTCCAGGGTGGCAGCAGCTGTGCCTGGAGGCCCCCCCCCCTGCCCTGGGGGAGCAGGCTGGGTGGAAAAGCAGCCTCTCGCATTCCTGAGGGCAGGGTTTGGCAGACTTTCAGACTCCCTGTTGGAATTCCCTCTTGCCTCCTCCCACGTGACCCTGGACAAGTGGCCTAACCCCTCTGCATCCTGGTCACCTCCTAAGCTGGATGAGAGGATGCAGGCGAAGAGCCAGCCCACCTGGCCCGTCACGGCCCCCAGGCAGACCCTCACCCCAAAAGCAGGGCCACACGAACCCTGCCCCTGGCCTCACCCGGTCTGGAACAGTGTGTCTTGGGAGGCTCAGCCCACCTTCTGCCCCTCCCGCCAGAGCCCCGTGGCCCCCAGGATGCAGCCCCAGGAGAGCAGCATCCAGTACAGTAGGTGGGAGGACAGCAGCCGGGATGAAGTCAGCGTGGCCAGCGGGCCCGGCGCACAGGAGGCCTCGGGCTGTAAGAGGTGAGGGGCTGGGAGGAGGGAACCCTGGCCCTGCGCAGGCCCCTCCCATCCTTCCTGCCAGCCTCTGCTCTGCGCCCACTGGGCGCCCACCCCAGGCGGTCTCGGCAGACCCGGGCCCCACACCTTCCCTGGTGTCTCCGCCACTCCCCTCCCTCCTGTCTTCCAGTCCAGAGCGCCCGGGCTGCCCTCCTCCGCGGTCCATCTGCCCGGGGCCCCCTCCTTCTCCTCCCCCCGCCCCGCCTGCCCCCCCCCCCGCACTGGGGGCCGCCTGGGGGCTCACGTGCCTGCGGTTCTCACTCTAGGGTCTCCCGGAAGCTGTGCTCGGGCAAGCTGGGCATCTCCTTGAAGGTGCTGGGTGGAGTGGCCCTCTTCTGGGTCGTGTTCACCCTGGGCTACATCACCGGCTACTTCGTGCACAAGTGCAAATGAACGCTGCCCAGAGCATGCGCCCAGGGGCATGGGCTCGGAGGGACACCCCGTGTGCGAGAACCCCTCTGTGTACACGGACCCACCAGTCTACACGGACCTTAGTGTACACAGCCTCCCATATACACAGACCCTCCTCTCTATACACAGGCTCCCCTCTGTGTACACAGCCCCTCACCATGCACACAGACACTCTCCCCCCGACCAGTGCACAGACTCCAGGGGCACAGGGGGCACACATATTGGCCTCAAGCTCACGGGGACACCACTGTGCACAGCTGTCACAGGCATCCACAGGCGTACAGCCAAACAGGGACACGGGTACACAAGGACACACACGTGCACACCTGGCACACAGAGCCACCCAGGGGCCCACGTGGCTGGGAGACCGGGCCCAGCCTGAGCTGGGGCTGCAGGATACACCCAGGCTAGGCCCTCAGTCCAGGGCCCCAAGAGCTCCCCTTCTCCCCGCAGCCGAGGGCACAGGCCTGGCAGCCCCAGGGTGGGGTCATCCCTGGGTGGGCATTGTGCGGAGCTGTGTGGCCCTGACCAGGCCCCTGCCCTCTCTGGCCCTTCTGACTCCCATTTGTGAAAGGATGGCTCTGAGGGGGTGTATGTGTGTCCCTCTGTACATCCACCCTCCCCGGGGGCTGAGTCATTTCCTGGGTAGAGGGGCCTTAGCCCTTGTCCCAGACCCACCTCTGCATCTTCCCTCCAGGGAGGTGGACACGTTCCCCAGGGCTGTCCACCTCACAGAGTGGGCCCTGCAGGAGCCCGGCCCCTCCGCTGGCACCCTGTAGGAGGCCCAGACCCTGCACACGGAGGTCGTCATTAAATTTCTGTTGAATGAAAACACGGATGACGGTGTCTCCCGTGGGTCTCCCCGGCAAGGCGTGACTCACGGCCCCTGATGTGAGGGCAGCTGGAGGGCATCTGGACAGCGGCCGGGAGGCCTGGGAAAGGGCCTGTGAGCCTCCCGCTGGCTCTGGGCCTTGGGATGTGTCCCGTCCTGGCCAGGCCCTCTGCTGGGAGGTGGGAGCACGGGGGCAGGCCTGCGGGCGCGCATGTGGCTGGACCTGCTCCTGCCTCCCCTGACCATGGACAGCGCCTTGCCGGCTCTGCTCCGGCTCGCTTGGCCCTCGCCTGCTGTGAACTCACGCCCCAGACCCCGCAGACCCCTTGCCAGAAACACCTTCTTAGGGAATTGGTCCTCACCCCAGAACTGCCCAGAACTGAGGGCAGGAGACGAGGGACAGTCAGGATCCCTATGGCTCATAGCAAACCTGGGTGTCAGAGGCCGAGCTGGCAGGGAGGGCAGAGACCCCACGGGACTGGCCTAGGGCACAGCGGGCCCACTGCAAGTCTGCCTGGGCCGGGCGGGCGTGAGGTGGGGCTGCACCACCCAGGTGCTCCCTGGCTCTGAGCCCGCTGCTGGGCTGCGGTCTCCCAGCAGCGGTGCTTCAGCAGGGCCTGCTGTGGGGCAGGGGGCAGGGCAAACAGGTTAAGGGCAGTGGTGGAGGGTCTGTCCCAGCCGCCCTGGTCTCTGCGCCTCAGCACCTGTCTCCTGAGAGACTCTGCCCCCACCTGCTTGGCCACAGCCAGGGAGGGGGCCTCAGCCTAGCACCCCAGTTCGAGTCCCCTCTGGCCATCTCAGGACGGTGGAGGGTGTGGGGAGGTGGGCAGGGGCCACTGGCCTGGCTGCGTGGCCTCCGGGGGCTCTCAGCAGTCGGCGGTCGTCGCTGGAGGCACAAGGGCTGACCCTCCCCGAGACCCAGTGCAGCCTCGGCCAGGAGTGGGGCGAGGGCGCGGGACAGAGGGAGGAGGGAGGGGCCCCCGCTGCCCCTGACCCCCACTCCCTCCGAGGCCTCTTCGGCTCCAGGGCCGCATTCCCCAAGTAGCCCCTGGTGAGGGGCAGGTCTGCGATGGACAGGTCACATGTGACTGGGACGGAGCAAGGAGGGGCAGCCAGCAGCGGGAGCGGGGGGAAGAGGAAGTGACCTCGGAGCCTGTCCGGCTCAGCCCGACACCGCTGGGTGATGCCCAGGGTCCTCACGAAGCCTGCTCCCCAGGACCGGGGGGAACCTTACGGGCGGCCGTGGGCCGTGGACGGTGCTGGGGTCTGGCCTGGATCTGGCTGGCCACGCCCTGCGTGCCCCACGGCCAAGCAGGTCTCAGCATGGAGAGCTGGGTGCACCAGCCCAGAGCCTGGGGGATGCGCAGCGCCCCCTGCCCCAGGCCCTACTGGCACCGGATGCCTGGCCCATGCAGGTGGGGGGCTACAGGCAGGGGCACGTGGGGCACACTCCCCCACACGGGCCACCTCAGAGAGACATGCCCCGGGGCCCCAGCTGGACCCGAGTGGCCGGAGTGGAGGTGGCGTCCCGACAGCCCTGGGAGGGTTGGGAGAGGACGGGACAGGACCCTTGGCCTCCCCTCCCACAGGAGGTTCAGGATTGGGGTGGTCTGCTGGAAGCGGGTCCCAGGAACTTGACCCCTTTGGGAAAGCCCCGGGGAAGGGTCCACCTGGTGATGCTACAGGAGCAGGTTCCCAGGACCCAGGGATCAAGGGCAGCAGCTTCTCTGGGCCAGGCCCGAGTGACAGGAGATAACTGCCTCTCACTCTTTGCTGGCAAGAGGGTCCCAGGTCCTCAGCTTCCCCACAGACACTTCCAACACGCATCTCCCGAAATCCCAGGAAGGACTCACGGGGAAGGAGCCGCGATGTTCCTTCTAAATGTTTTTATTAGAGGGTCGGCTGACAAAGAAAAAGAAACGTCAAAGCGGTTTTCTGCTGTAAGCTGAATACGTTTCCAAACCTCACACGGAATCAAACTGCACCAGAGAAGAGCAGCAGGGCCGGCTGCTCCCCAACATCAAGGCGCCCCAGACCTGGTGCCACGCGGCCGCCGAAGCCACAACCTGGTGCCAAGAGGGCAGCTCAGCTGCGGCCCCAACCTGGAGCTGCCAGCAGGGCTTCGCCGTGACGCCCACGCCCACGTCAGCCGCAGCATCTGTGGCCTTGATGGCCCGAGGGTCATGAAGTGACAACCCTGGGCCACCAATGCACACAGATGTCAGGTAGGTTTGGGGAACACCGTCACCTGGTGTCCACTTCAGCCCAGTTAAGCACGGCTGCCCCAGGGCCGACAAAGGGCAGCCCCGGCAGTGACCAGAGAGCTGGGTCAGGTAGGTGTCAAGGCAGCCCCGCCATGTCCTTCGAGGAGGGCTGGCCGGGCCCTGGGGAACCCACGTGGTTGTACAGCAGGCCCGGCGTGTGGGGTGTGGGCCTCACGCGGGTCTGGCTCTGACCGCTACATGCCTGGGTCCGGGGGGGGGGCTCTCGCACATGCCTGCCAGCCGCCTGTCATTTTGACAAAACACATAAACTGTCCTTTGCAGGCCAAAGACCATGGAACACGCGTTCACTCAACAAGAAAAAGCTGGCGGGTCAGTTTTTCCTCTGCCGGCTGCTCCTGGAGCAGTGAGGTCAGTGAACTGCCGACTCAGAGCTGGAAATACCTAGAATGCCAGATGCTGAGACCCCCTTGTCTGGCACACGCTCCATGATTCCTGGCATCAAACTCCCCATGCCTCCTCCAGTCACCGCCACCCCAGTCCTGGAGCAAGCTGACGACGGCTGACCGCCCTGTCTGAGCATGGAAGCCTGTTTTGCAGTGGGAAACCTGCACACTGACCTCCAGACGCAGGTGTGACACCTCACGGCCCTGGTGCTGGTTTACAGTCGACTGACGCCCCCGCCCTCCCCAAGTCCGGCCAGTGCAGCAGGCGAGTTGGGCCATCGCTCCCGGATGCCCTGCCTCCCACCCCCAAAGCATCCTACAGCAGCAGTAAGAAAAATGATTTTGCCAATTCTAAGGTCACGTTAAAAAATGTTTTTATAAAAAGATTACGGTTTACAACAACTGGAAACCATGACATCTCACATTTCTAAGCTGCAGTGCTGGAACCGTAGGACTTTAAAAGATATTGTATTGTAGAAAAATAACTGTGCAGCTCAGCAAAATGCACGTCGTTCAGCTTCTCAACTTAGAACTAAATATTCACACCAATTACAGTGTCCTTTCCCCCTGTGAATACAGTGATTTGCTGTGTGGCTACATGATTTCAGAACCCTTTGAGCAGTTAGTTCCAATATTCAAGTGATTTCATGAAAAGCACTGGCAGAGTCAATTCGGTGCTGTGAAGGTGAAATGACTTCAGCGCATGTCAACGTGGCACCCCCTACGACAGAATCGACTGGAAAACTGAACAGAGAATGCATATATCTTAAAAACTACCGAGGTGAAGGAATAATTCAGTATCACCACACGGAAGCCCTGCAGAGCCAGTGCGCCTGACAGTGCCTCCCTGGGAGCCTGAGGCAGTGGCCCGGCTGTCAGCGGAGCACAGTCACGTGGGCAGCGGCGAGGTCCAGGTCCGTCTTGGACGGATACACCACCTTCAGGTGGCCCTCCTCATCCACCACCCGGACCTGCTCCACCACCAGCGGGGCGCTCCCAGCCTGCTCAGCACCGGGAGTCGCCCTGGGGCCCGGGACTTGTCCAGGAATGGCATCGACTTCGTGGTCGGAGAGGGAACCTTCGTCTTTGTTTTCCAAAGCGTACTTGTTGATTTCTGCCATTTTCTGCAAATGAAAAATCTTTTCAACCGAGAGATCAGAGGCAACCCAGGGAAGACAGGCTGCCGTCACCCAGATGGCAAAGGGCAGCGGACACGCCGTCTGTCCCGCGGGGCCAGAGCCTCGGTGGGCAGGATGGGCGGGGCAGGGCGCTCACCAGGATGAGGGCGTCCATGATGTCCTTGCAAATCTGCAGGCTGGCGGCGCTCGTCACTTCCAGAAACAGGTCACAAGTGGTTTTCTTAATCTTCAACAGAAATTAGAAAGATTTCAGGAAAGAATCAAGTTATCACAAGCAGACCCCAGCAACTGCAAGGTCTAATCTGCAGAAAACCCTGTAAGACGGTGTCACACAAATCTGGACTGTCGCCCGCCTGAGGGGAGACAGACACCGGGGTGCGGCACACGTGGTGAGTCACGGGCGGCAGCGAGCACACGCAGCCACACGCGTGAACACGCCACGTGACGCGGTCTCAAAGGTGCCAGATGCCGGCACCACCCACCTTCGTCTTCTCGCTGTTTGTTATGGGCGGGAAAGAAATCACGTCGCCGTTTGCATCCACGAGGCACGGGTAATGCTCCTTCCCGTCCAGCAGGTGAAGGTACCTGGGTGAGAAGAAATACCGATAACAGGCACAGCTGTGGAAACACACCTAAAGGCGAGTGGACGAATCGCAGTTCTCTGGACACAGTAGGTGTCAGGTCAAGGGCACGTGACACAAGCCAATTCAGAGGAGATGTTCGCAGGGCCTCCTCGGCGCCCGAGCCAGCCGAGCCTGACCTGGATCAAGTACAGCAGGCCTGGCTGCCCCTCATCCGTGGTGCGCTCTCCCTGCGCACCTGGTGGACATGCCGAGGGCCCCCCTCTGAGACAACACAAGGCCTGCACTCCTGGCACCTGCTTCTCTGAAGCCACGCGACACGGGGCTACGGTGGATCCTTCCCCACCCCCGCCCCGCCGCCCCACCCAAGAACCCGAGAGGAGAGTGAACGAACGCTGGGGAGGTCTCCTTAGTTCGGGCAGCTGCGGGAGCGCCCGCAACGACACCGGCTGATGAAAGGGGCCCCACCTGTGCAGGCCCGACACGTTCTGCCTCTTCTTCTGCTTCCTGTGCTCCTCCGCCTCCAGCTGCAGCTGCCGCACCAGGTCCTTGGCCTTGACTTCCCGGCGCCCCAAGGGGACGATCTACGGGGTGGACACCGCACGTTGGCCCGTCGCTGGGGGTCCCAGCGGGAGGCTTCTGAGGGCTGACAGTCCTCCAGGCGGACGTCCAGCGGGCTGAGGATAGAGGCTGTCCCCATGTCACGTGAAGATATACTGTGCCTTCAGAGGTCACCCCGGGGGCTGAATCTGAAACCCGCCTAATGCACAGCCGCGCCTCCACGCCTGTGGCTCTGAGGAGGCCGAGGGAAGAGATGGGGCCAGCGGCCGGAGCCAGCCCCCTGGGAACACTCCTCCACCGGGGGCCCGAGGTGCCTCATGCGGAACCCGAGAGACCAGGAGCGGGGCCTTGGCAGAACTCACACTGCGGTCAACCCCAGATCAGGGCGTTTGCGACTGGGATATAAACCACAATTTCTGGTTAAAAGTTAGCGAGCAGGTGAAGGAAACCACTTTCAAATCACCACCTCCTTTGATGAGTTTACTTTTGAAAGTACCTGCTTTATTTTATGTTCCTGCTGGGAGCAGAAAAGGGCCAGATTCTAGCCAAAATGGTCTGACTCAACCACCTGCATGTGTATTTTTTGAAAAACACACAAGGAACACTCAAACTGCAAACACCGGGATGCGTGGCCTCACCCTGAGGTCTTCTGGGGGGCGGGTGGCATACAGCAGGGGCCCCCGGATGGCTCTGAGGTCGTGGGTTGCGATGGTGGCCACCGTCCTCTTCTCACAAAGGTCCTCGTGCAGCTTTGTCTGCAATACAAGTTCAAGGGCAGGCAGAGCTCAGCATGCCAAGGCCGGAGGGCAAGCCCCCGCCACCCCAGCGCCCCCGGAGCAGCCTCCCCAGCCGAGTATTTATTTCGTGGAACCTCCGCTGGAAAGCTGGTATCTGCTTATCAGCAGAATTTCTTCTCACCCTAACTCTGCTGTGCAATGCTTGAGACTTCAAAGAACCCATCTCGAGCTGAAACTGATGACTGAATAAACAAGTGTGACTTCAAAAGGAAAACAACCCCAGCAAGCGTTTCCTCCAAAACACTGATCTCCCAGTTCTGAGCTCCTGGCTTGGCTTCCTCCCCGCATGCACGTACAGCCTCAGCCCCGCAGGCCACGCTCGGGGTTGCCCACGTGCAAGGATGTGCTTTTTGCTTTAAAAGCTGGGCAGACTTCACAGAAGAACAAACTCTGAGTTTGTCTAGCTGAAACTTCACAAAAACTAAACAAGTCACCCAAGAACACGTTGGCAAGAGCTGACGATTTTAACTCTCTCTCACGTGACACTGAACATGTCACCTATTGCGGAAGTCAGAAACCCACCCGCACAGCAGAGACTAAGGGACGCTGACTGCGCTGGGTCCCCTCCCCACCCCCCCCCACCCGGGCCGGCCGAGGCGCCCGGCAGGAGCGGTGGCCGCCCTGCCCACGGCCCGTCCTCCCCGCCCCCACCGCGGCCGCGGGCACCCACCTGGGAGGAGAGGAAGCGCTTGAGCGCGTTCCCGGGCTGCAGGTCCATGCCCCGCACCACGGCGCCCACGATGAAGGGCCGCACGTCCCCGACCCCGGGGCTCACCCTGACCGTCAGCGGGGCCGGGTTCTCGGCCACGTGCAGGACCCGCAGCAGCAGCCGGCTGGCCTCGTCCACCCACGCCTCCTCGCCCTCGCCGCACTCCCTCTTCCTCCGCTCCCGCCGCTTCCTCCGCGCCTCCTCCCTGTCGGGGCCCTCGGCCTTGCCCCGGCTCCGGCAGCCCCCGCGGCCCCCAGCACGCAGGTACTCCAAGATGGACCTGGTCTGGCAGCCGCTGACCATCTTCTCCAGGCGCTTGTCCCGCAGCCTGTTCCCCCGGAAGTTGATGTCCTTGAGCCTGGGGCAGTCGGCCAGCTCTGCTGGGATCTCACTCAGCTGGTTGTTGGACAGGTCCAGCGTCTGCGAGGGAGACCAGGACGCATCAGACCCCCGGGACCCGCCCTCCTGCCGCCTGCCCCGCCTCAGCCCCACGCCTCTCCCCCAGCCCAGCGCCCAGCACGGATGCAGTGACCCAGGCTCCTCGGAGGAGAGGCCCGAGTGGACTGCCAGTCGCCTGTGTGAAGTGCTGGTCTTGCTTGTGCTGCTTGACCACCGTGTCCCCGTAGTAACAACCACGGCAGAATTTCCCATCGATGGTTAGGTTAGAGGGAAAAAAGACAACAAGGAACGCGGGGAATGTCTGGTTATAAACAAGTAAGGACTTTACATGAGAAACAGGTTCCCTACAAAGTAGCGCTGAGACGTCTTTAATTAAATGAGCAAAAAAGCAAGAACAGAGCAAGAGTAACGCAGCACGATGCTCTCGTGCTCTCTCGTATCCTGCGTGCGTGACAGACAGCGAATCAGCGTCAATGCTGGGACGGTCCTGGGCCCTTGGCGGTGACGCGGGAGGAGGGAGCGGGGGCTACTGCTCCTGCGCCATAAGGAGGTTGGTGAAACCCTGCGGCCCGTGAAAAGGAACCTTCTGTGACTACTACTGAGGCTGCCATCAGTGTCGCTGACGCGGTGGAAACGGGCCAAGTGGCCACCTCACGTGGTGGGCAGAAGGCAGGGTCCTGTGCCGCGGGAGGGACTCGGCTGGTGGTAAGGAGGACAGGGCCCCTCCCAGGAGGCCGAGGCGGCACGCAGCCCTGCAAGTAAACGGCTTCTTCCTCGTTCTCCTCCAGGGCCCGTGGCAAGCTCTGGATGGGCCCCGTTCGGCTTCGCTTGGACCTCACATGGAGCCTGGGGAGAAACCCTATAATCTGGTTTGGTGGGAGTAAGCACAGGGGACTGGCATTTGGACAGCGAGGCAGTGACGGGCGGCAGGGGCCTCCCCAGGGGCTGCAGATCCGGGAGCGCTCGGGCAGGCCCCTCCTCGCACCCAGGGAGCAGCGCCCACAGCAGCGTGGCTAGCGAGGAGTCCTGGTCCTGACGGGGACACCTCGGCCCCGAATGACCACAGCTGGGCCACAGCGGGTGGCAGATTTGTCACCAGCTGGGAAGGGGGGCAGGGGCCCTGACTATCCACGAGATGCTGTCTGCTGTGGCTGGCACAGAGG